ATAGTTTATGATAAGATGGGAGCACCATTTTCCTTTCATTTGGAATTTGAGTGGTGCTTCTATTGCTCCATGAAGGAGACACAGATGCGTTGAATACAGTATCAGCTCTGCAGTATTCCTCCTCATTCCATGCCAAGCTATGTGTGCAAGGGTACTCAGTGTTCTTGAAGATCTAACTTTGCTCAGTACTTTATGTCCTTGGCTGTCCTCTCACTGAGCTTTTCCACCTCACCTTTAGGACGTTTGGCATTATCATTTTCACCTATGGATATGGATTAAAAAAGGAAATTTGGGTTCAGGATAGTTGAAGAACACACCAGAACACCTTGCACAGAGGAAAAGGAAAGTCCTCAAGGACACTGAAATAGTGCTTGGTGAGCCAGGGCCTGAACACCAACTTCTGGGATGCCACAGTGATAGTCACTAATGTGTAATGATTTCTGAGCTGTTCTGGAAATGCAAGAATGGATAATCATATGTCATGGCTTGGATGACATAGTAATGCATTTGAGGAGACAAGATATTTGGACCTTAACAGGGAAGGATAGACCATAATCAATTACCAAAGAAGATCGAAGATGATGGATTGATGTTCCAAAAAGACTTTGTGATCCAGTCCAATATCATTATCTTCATATAATCCATGAGGAAACTCAAATTATTAAAGTATTAAACATTGGCCAAAGCCACCGAAAAGGTATAAGAAAGCCAAGCCAACAAGCAATTCTTGACTACCTTAGCGCCAATCTATCAACTATGTTGATACATCGTGTTACCTTATGGCTTATCAAAATCAAACATTGTTAGTATTTTGATATGTTATGGAATAGAGTAGGTTTTGCTTCAAAAGTGTCATGTAAGTACTTTTCTATCCAGAGGAACAAAGCTGGCTTATTTATGGAAGTAGAGGTTTTTCCTCATCCTAAATTACACAGCAATATCTGAATGAGTCCACAAAGCTCAATGTCGTACCCAAATTTGTAATGTCAGTCTGAACTGGTATTTACAAATGAAGAGATGTTATTAGTGATGTAATTTGGTTAAATGAATATTGTGCCAAATTATCTCAAATTTATAACACTTATAACAATTTTATGGAAAATTGCTTACAAAATTATACCCTTATAAAGTGCACACATTAATAACACACCATCAGGACACATAAATTATATAAGAGTCATATCCTTTTGCAGTTGTATACATTGAATAATGTGATGTTTTTGCAAGAGCAAAAGGCATACTATGCTATTAAAACATACTGTCACTTTTAAATGGTACATTAAAATCACCATGGACAACCAAGACATAAAGATAACAAAGATGATATTTTTGTGCAAGATGAGTTTTTTCTTCTAAAGGGGAAAATAAAGAAAAGAATGGCCTATGTATATAAAGAGAATAAGAGATAAGCAATATATAAAGAGATAAGCAATAAGAATGGGAAATGCCATCTGTCATTGTTAGGAATATGTCTTTACTCTGGAATGAAACTAAGCACCCAAAGCACAAGCAGTCCTATTATCCAGCAAAATGTAGAAGCCCTCTGTCCATTAACTCCTTTCCTCAGGGTAGAGGTAAGGGGTCTACACACACTCGGGTAGCGGAGACATACTGCCTGGCCCACAGTTCTACCAGAGCACCATATTATTTCATGCATGTCCCTCTGCTGTACTTGTTTGCTCTGATTCTTTAATGCGTTTTCCTCCTTGCCTCTTATTCTTTCCTCCTCTGAAGACTGTGGTGAATAGCACTTTATCCTCCATGACTTTATGTGTGAGTTGCGATCACTATGATGCCTTTTCTGATCCAAGTCATGGAATTACTGTTTCTGCACTTCACACATCAGTCATCCCCTTTAGTAAGCCTGATGCCCACATTTGCCTGCCCAGTGTACTGTGAACCTCTATGAATCTAAACATTGTCACTATTACTCAAAATGGTGCATATGTGTCAAAAATTAATTTGTTAATTAAAGAAAAGTAAACAAAATCTAAACAAGAAGCCAATGAGTACACATTTTATGAACCTTAGCATGAATGCTACCAATGACACTCATTATGCACATGTAGGCTGGGCCATTGCATATGTGTGTGTATGCACACATGTATATAGTGTATGTGTGTGTGTGTGTGTGTGTGTGTGTGTGTGTGTGTGTGTGTGTGGTAGACCAGATGTCATTTTTTTATATCTGCTAACATTTTATTTTCTATGAGTTAAAAAACCTTTAAATGGGCTTTAATTTTTGATTACTTGTCTTCCTTTATTAGGATGGAAGTAGTAACTCCTGCAGTCAGATTTTCATTATTTTTTTTATTGTGAAAATACTGTACAGAGGGGCTATAATTACATGGGCAAGATAATGAGTACATTTCTTATCAAGCATTGTAGCCTCCTCCTTTGTTTCCCCTTCTCATCCCATCCTCCCCCGACACCCCCCCCAACCTTCCTCCCCCCCCCCACCAAAGTTGTAAAGTTGGTTTTCGACATAACGACTTGTACATCTCATTGTTGCAATGGGTCCACCTATATCCCTATTTAAACGATTTGTTTTTCCCCTTCCCCTCCACAAATTATAACAACATCAAATACAGTGAAAACAGGGTTATACCATGGGGGAGGGACATACAAAGCAACAAAGAAATCATCTTATAAATGTGTTAGTAACAATCGCATGAAAGAAAAAAACATTTGAATACATATCCTAGGGTTCATTTCCCTAACATCAACTTAACTGACCTTTTCTGCTTGACTCAGACATATACTAGTTATTGCAAATAAGGGAAACCATGGGACCTATGTTTCTTTGGGCTTGGCTTACTTCACTTAATACAATTTTTTCCAAGTCTTTCCATTTCCTAACAAATGGGACAATGTCATTCTTTCTGATGGAGGCATAGAATTCCATTGTGTATATATACCACATTTTCTTGATCCATTCATCTACTGAGGGGCATCTGGGTTGGTTCCATATCTTAGCTATGGTTAATAAGGCTGCAATAAACATAGTCGTGCTGGTAGCTTTAGTGTGGTCTTGTTTGTGATCATTTGGGTAAATGCCCAAAAGTGGGATTGCTGGGTTATAGGGGAGCTCTATGTGAAGTCTTTTGAGGAACCTCCATACTACTTTCCAAAGTAGTTGAACAAGCTTACACTCCCACCAACAATGCAGTAAGGTTCCCTTCTGTCCACATCCCCTCCAGCATCTGTTGTTATTAGAGTTCTTGATTATAGCCATTCTAACTAGGGTGAGGTGGTATCTCAATGTTGTTTTGATTTGCATTTCTTTTATGGCTAGGGAGGTTGAGCATTTCTTCATGTGTCTATTGGCCATCCTTCTTTCCTCTTCAGAGAAGTCAGTTGTTTCTTTAAAGATTTGTTGTAGGGGGATTTAATTTTTTGAGTTCCAGGTATATTTTAGATATGAGACCCTTGTCCGTTGTATGGCTAGTGAAGATCTTCTCCCAATCTGTGGGCTAGATTTTCATTATTTGTTAAAGAAACTTTGTAGGAACAGTCACTCAAATCATATTGTGACTTGAGTCATTTACAGTTGAAAACTCAACTTCACTCTGATCAAAACACATGCCTCTCCTTCAATCCTTCCTTTTCCTTCCTTCCTTCTCAAAGATAATTGAGTGCATTCCAGTCACAGGGGTAAATTATACACAGACAGACACACACCTCTACATACACACGAACATACACACACATACATATGTATATCCATATATGTATATGTATATATATATATTCAATGAAACAAGTAGAAAATTTTCTTCTTTGATAGAGAAAGCAGATGCTCATGACTACTTACACTTCTTTCCTTGTAGGCTACACAGATAGACAAAAATTCATTTTCCCTGGCTGCTTTAGGGGCAAACGATGGTGTTTGGGTAGAAGTGATATATGCTATATTCAAGTGCTACTTAGATCGTTCTGCAACTTCACCTGAGTTTCCTCTCCTTGCTGCCTGCTGAGTGGATTTAACAGATTTAGGAAAGAACTGTCTTTGCCAGTCCTACCTTTTCACAGCAGAAGACCTGCTGGGAGAATTTGCCTGCATGAGCAGAGAGGGCAGCAAGGCCCAGTTCTCTAGGGACTGTTCAGAGTAGTGGAAGTGAAGATGGCTCCATCTGGTCTCACTGCTTCTAGCTTCATTGTTATGTATCTTCTTTCAGGGTGATCAGTTACATGGAGGCCATGGTTCTGGCCCAGGTGCCTTAGGATCAGCCTGTGAGCATGCATGGACCTGGGGCCATGTAAGCAGACCAGGCCCATTGGAACTGTGCAGCGTCAGCCCTCGGTGTGAGCTGTGTGCAGAGGTACCCCAACGGTGCCATACACAGTCTAAAAACAGGATAAAGGCGACTCTCTGGATCTTATCTCTGGCAGTAAGGCTGGGACAAGCCCAGCCATCCCAGAGGGTAATACCCTGAGCTGGTGGGAGCACTGCTGAGCCACTCATCAAATTGGAGCGCCCCAATGTGAGACACATTTCTACACTTTAAAGCTGGACAACCTGTTAGGTCAGTGTTACCATTGCTGAATCTGCAGAATTGTCTATGGCTATGTAACCAATCACTCTGATGGGTCATGTTGGAAAACAGCAAACACTTACTGGGAATGACTCACGCTGGCCATTGGAATGCCTTAGGCCTTCAAGGCTCGGGGTCTCTCATGGGGCCACGGACATCTCAAGAACAAGCTCACTCTTGCTGCTTGGTTGAGTTCTTTTTGGCTCTTGATGAAAGAGAAAGAGGGGAGGGAGAGAGAGAGAACAGTATCTTCACTCATGTGCCTCTTTACAATGCTTCTCACAGCATGGTAGCTTGCCTCTCCTCAGTAAGGAGAGGGAGAGAGAGGAAGAGAGAATGGAGAGTGCTAGTATCCAAGATGGAAGACACCATCTCTTCTATAAATTGAGATGGCTTCCATGCTCAGGGACTGGTCTTTGATTCCCTCTTTCATTCCGTCACTTCTGCCATGTTGATCTCTGTCAGAGAAAGTAAGGACGTTCTACCCAGACTTTGGGAGAGGGGAGCCACATGGAGGCACGAAGGTCTTGTGGTGTGTGGTGCACTCGGAGCAGAGCACACGCGTGAGGGACGACGCTTATTCCTGAAGATGAGAGCTGACATGGAGCAAAGACTCAACGGGTGTGGCCAGACTGAGGCCTGGTCCCCGCAGCATCAACCCTGGCAGGGGTAGTCCTGACTCAGGAGCTCTCATTCAAACACCAAGAACCCAGCCCCTGAGCCGTTGCTGCAGGACTGAGAAATGAAAGAGCTAACATTTCCTTCCCATGGTTCCTACGGGGCGATATTCTGTTTGCTTTAAAACCAGCTCTCTTGATTGTGGTTTGAGTGTATGGTGTAAACAAAATCATGGCAGGCAATTGTACCCGGCCTGTCTTTTGCAAACTACTTTTATATAGGTGAACACTATCCTGTTTCACCCAGACAAGCACTCTTCTGATCTGAAGCATATTGTTCTAATCATATTAAGTATGCCATAAAATAATCACAAAGAAATTAATATGAAATTAAGGGAAGAACTCAAATACCTTCAAATCCAGGATTCCAGAAAAGGGGAAGTGGATAGAAGGAAGAGGGTGTAGATGGGAATTACAGAGCTCAGAGCTGGTCTGAACTGGCCATTGTTAATTACAATATGGCATTGGCATTGGCTAACCACATTTGCCAACCCAATGGTCTCTAGTTCGTGAGTTCCAATTCTAATTCATCATATTTTATGAATTCTACTTCTGCCCATCTGGAGTGACCCAAAACTTTACTGTTACTTCCTGTCCCCCATATCTTAGGAAATGGATCTGACCCCAGAGATACAGCATCACCAGCTACACAGTCCTCATGAAGCACAGCTGTCCACCAGAGCAGCAGTGGGGGCTGGAGGGTCCACAGGCCTGAAGACTAAACGAATCATAGGAACACAGAAGTGAGTGAGGCTGTCCAAAGCTGGCTTTCATTTCTTCCTCCATTGGTGGGATTTCCAGTCAAAGATCTTCACCTCTCCCAGCCTCAGACCCATGGTGGAGGGACCCCGTGGGATGTTGAGGAATTGAAAGGCTGGTAAGGTCACTCACGAGTCCATTTCCAAAAGGGATCAAACATAGAGATGCATACGTGATGCGTATACACACATGCACACTCATACATGGACACACATACACATGAAAGCACACATTCATTCTTATTTACATACCTGCTTCTTGATTGGCAAATTAATCATTGATTTTTGGGACTGGAAATAGCAACAGATCTTTATGGGTCTCCAGTTTGCCAATTGCAGAAATTCTAGAAGTCTTACCCTAAGGTGGCTGTGAAGTAAAATGTCACCAATTTCTTGTTCAGTTCCACAGACTAAGCCAAATGGGATCCTTGACAGGTCCATGGCGAGCATGGTGTGGATGCGTGATGCCTGTTCTGAGTAAACTGCACTCATGCCGAACCATGTCTCCGTGCTGGAATGTTATTTGCACAGCACACACTGGGTAGCGGAATGAAACCTAATTACACATGTCCTTCTCTTCTGATCCAGCCCTGCCCCTGCCCTGCTGCACCACTCTACATAGTATCCAGAGGGGTTATCGGGCAGCCAGGCTGCCTGCCTTCCATCTGCGATGTCTGTGAAGGGGCTGGGGGTGTGATTCCTCTCAGGAAGGCCCCGGGGGGTCTGCGCTCTGTGCTGGTGGCTAGCTTTGTCCTGCACTGTCAGGGTAAAACCCTCTTTCTGCTCCTTGCAGATCTTTTGAGTTCAATCAAGCGGAAGCTCAATTTTTTTCCCCCTCTCTCCCCGTTTCAATTGCCAACTCCCAAGCCAAGTCTTACCTCATTTGAATAACAGAATCCCTGGGCCCTCCATTTACTCCTGGGTGAGCCGGCCGTGCCTCATTTCTCGCTGAGTCTCAATTGTAGGGTAGCATCCTCTGGCCACAAACTCCCATCCCGACTCCAGCCAGCCCTCTTCCTGGGAGGCGCACATGAGCTCCACCAACTTCAAATAATTACTTCTCCTATTCGGTAGGGATTCCGTCTATGAGCTGTGATGCCCTTCCGCCTTGTAAAATGAAGGCTGAGCAACTGGGCTCAAGGGAGGTGAGAGGCTCGGTCCTCTGTCATTGCTGTGTCAGCCAGGACATGAGAGGTGACTTAGTTCCTTGTAGTCCCACCTGGGTCCCTGGGGGCCCCCAGTTCCATTTGTACCAGTCGTAAGTATTTTTCTTTTAAATCTCAAATCCTTTTGGCCTCACATAGAATTTTTACCTTATTTTTGTTGCCAAAGCTTTTGATATCACTTGTACGATCACAACCCAAATACAATGGCAATGCAGAGATGGATTTCCCAAGAAAGCCTGAAGGGTCCAGTACAGAAAACACGCATGTTGAAACTAGAGGGAGAGTCAGTCAGTAGTGTGCCAGAAAAGCCCGTTTGCTGAGTGGAATTGAACTGCTTGTTAAAATGTGAGCATTCTTGCAATCAGAGCAGAAAGGGCATATATACAGTTGAAGATTTGTATCAGCTATAAGAGAAAATATCAATTGCTCCAAGCCCTTTGTTGTCTAAACTTCTGTCTTGGTTTCTTTTCTCTAAGAACATCCGTGGGCATGCATGGAAGGCTGTTCTCCCTCTCATCACATACAGGTTGCTGAACTTCCCTGGCTTCTTGCCAGACCCAGGCCACTCTCCCTGGATGGCTGATGGGTAAGTTCTCATCGCAGCTTTCCTTGTTTTTCTCCCACCCTGCTCCTACCCAGGGCTTCTTCCTTCCACAGAATCAGGTGGAGAGGAGCAGCCAGGAGCAGCTGTGGCTTGGGACGTTTGCTGTGGTTTCTGTACATTCGCCCAGCGCTGAGCAGCTGGTGGCACAGGCAAAGATCTCCCACTGTCTGGGCCAGTGTGCCGATGCCACTCGCTGGCAGCTGTGGAGGAAGACAAGGTGGGGAATTGAGGTCTCCTGTCACACCCACCTCCTGCCCCCACCGCTGTGTACGGGCAGAGCTGCAGGGGCAGCCTCGGCTCCCTGCTCAGGGCCAGCAGCCCCGGAATCTGCCAGGGCTGAATGGGAATGACAGCTCAGGGGCCAGGGCTGGAACTCATCCTGTCCTATGGACACCGGAGCAGGGTTGCTGCTTTGAAATTTTTATATACCATCTCCTTTTATTGTCCCAATGCCTACTTATCATCCACCTGTGCATCTCCTGCCAGTGTGCATAAGATAGTTTGGAGTGAAATAAAATGTGGGGCAATGCTGAAGGAAGGAGGGAGTCGAGAGTCAAAGCCATGCTTTCCTCCCCTCTGATGGGACCTTCTGGCGAAGGTGTTCCATGGCCCTCGGAGGAGGATGACCTCAGCTCCGACCTTTCCTGCCTCCTGGATCATCAACGATGCCAAGGGCTCTACCCCAGCACGTCCAATAATAGGACAACCTTGTGCTAATGCTTTACAATGAGCTAATTGAATCTCAGGAGGAAAGGCTCACTCCTGTTCTAGGAGATGTGTGTGTTTTGTGTTGTTTTCAAACCCCTCTGCCCAGGTCACTGAATCGGTGAGTGGAAGATTTTAGAATTTAACATCATTGTTTATGGCTCTGATTTTCTCTTAGGTTTCCTATTCTTTTGGAGAGGCTGTTTAGAAGTCTGAGGAGTGGAGTTGAGAAGAAAAACCCCCATACCAAGGAAAGAACTAGGAGTCAGCCTAGAGAACGTGTACCCTCAGCAAGTAGCATGCTGGGTGATCTCAGTGAGCTTGTGCACCTCTCTGTGCCTGGATGAAGAGCTCCGAGAGTGTGACATTGAATGACTGAATTCCTGATGTGCCTCTGAGTGGAAACATTTAGAAATCCATGTTTTCCTGACAAAAGCTTTCCCGAGACAACCCCTTGAGTGGTCCAGCCTGCAAATCTCAGATTCTTTCTCCGCCGGGATTCTTGTCTCCTCAGCCTCTCACTCCTGAATAGCCTGTTACAAAAGCGGAAAGGGTAAAAACAAAGATAATGAAAGACGATGGAAAGAGTGAATCAGTCAATAAATCCCTCACTCCATACACCGAAAATTATCACCAGCTGTTGCCCAATTAAATGCAACAATCTGGCGGTGTCCCAGCGCTCGCAGGAGAATGATGATGCGCACTGTGTCTGGCTCAGCCTCTTCCACGGAAGCCCGGAGAACTGCAACAGAAAAGCACCCTTCCCCAGAAGCTTCACTTGTGTTTTTTGCCAGAAGCATTCCGACACAAAGGTTTGGCCACCAGGCAGCCGGCCCTGTTTGCAAGTCGTGCCCTGGCTTGTGTGTACACGGGCCTCTGACTTCATGTAGAAAGGAGTTCCCAAGGGTTCCACAGGGCCATGTGCAGGAAGATAACCTCAGGCTCTTATGAACGCTCCTCCCAACTAGCAGACAAAGGCCACACCATCAGGTCCATCCGTCCATTTCCTTTGCTGTGCATCTGTCTGCCAGGCAGATTGCTCTATTTCCAAGAATAAAAAATCAATAATCCTGCCACAAGGGAACTCAAACTCGTGTCATTGACATTACAATAGAAGGATGCATCAGCCAGCTCTATGTCACTGTGGCAAGATGGCTGAGGTACCCGGCTTTAAAACAGAGTAGCTTTATTAGGGCTCATGGTTTCAGTCCTAGGCTGGCCCTGTGGTTCAGGGCCTGGGGCGCCACCTAACTGTGGGAGCTTGTGCTGCACCTCTCAGTGCATGCTCCCAAAGACCTAACTTCCTCCCACTGGGCCCCGCTTCTAAAGGCTCCCGTGTTCCTCACAGTGCCAAGGCTGGTGATCAGCCTTCCATACACAAGTCTTCAGGGGACATTTCAGATCCAAGCTATTGGAACTTGGATCAAAAGAGCACGCTTCAAGATGCATGGGGCATGAGAAGACACTTGGAACTAGATGAGAGCTGGGATGAAGACTTGGCTATTACCAGAATTTGACATCATCTGTTTTCCCCTCTGTCATTATAGCTCTTGATTTTTGGTCTTGTTGAAGACGTTTGTTTCCTACCCCTAAAATTGTCATGGAGACATTTCAAAGGATGGAGACATTTCAAAGGATGGAGATATCATATGACTTATCTTCCAAACCAATTTTAATTTTGCCTTTCACCTTTAGGTGTCTTGATTGTTGTGTATGATGTAAAAGGAGTGGCAAAGAGGGGTATGCAGAAACAGAGGGGGGAAGGGTGAGCAAAGGCAGTCACTGTGTAGTCTACACTGATGTGGAAAATGAACTATATAGCTGTAGGCAGGGACAGGAGGAAGAAACAGAGGGATTGGGGAGAAAGCGCAGGAAGGGGTGACATTGTTCAAATAAAGAAATGTGCTCATCACCTGACTTATGAAATGGTAACTCTTCTGTATAACAACCTTAACAATAACAACTAAATGGAATGCTATTTCCCCATACATGTACCCACTGGCCAAGCACCGGTGCTGGGTAGAACAGGAGCTGAGGAGGAGGTGTTCTGCTGCCACCACCGTGGGGGATGGGCATCCAGGCCTTTCCATTGATTCCTACTGGGTGAGCAAAGGAGACTCTATTCAAGGTTCCCTGTAAGTGACTTTTCATCATAAATAATTATAGAATTTCACCAGATTGTTTTTCTCTATTCTGTTCATATGGATTTTGTTTCCCTATTCTATTAAAGTGGTGAAATACATGGATTAGATTTTTAATGCTAAACCAATTTTGACTCCAGATAGAAGTCTATCTTGTCCATAAAGTGTATGATGCATCTATCTATCTGTCTGTTTATCTATCTATCATCTATATATCTAGTGCATATATGGTATGCATTAGAAAATCTGGAATACCATATTTTTAGGATGGTTGAATTTATGCCTAAACACCAGCTTGTTCTGTAATTTTGTTTTACAAGCTCAATTGAGTTCAGGGGTCAGAGTGCATCCAAGTTCTGGGCTTGAATAGTAATTTTTGTCTTCTATTATCTGAAATATTTTGGGAAATATTTGCTGAACTTTCTGTTGAAAGCTATCTGAGCCTGGAATAGTCTTCACAGGAAGACAAATTCATCAAAATTATTTGTTGGTTTTGTTAGACTGTCTTTTGAAGGCCTATGCTCACTTCACTTAAACTTTGGCATTGGCATAAAAGTGTAAGTCCTCAGTTTTTTTATTTTGGACTAACTCTGCCTCATCCTGCTTCTCCTCCCCTTCCTGGATGAATATTGTCACAAGTTTATTTATCCTTTCCAAGAATAAACTTTTGGCTTTTGTGTTTCCTTGCTGAAATAAAAAAAATTATTGTTTTCTGCATATAAACCTTATTTTCTTTTAGTTTTACTTGGGGTATTACGCTAGTTTGTTCACACAGATATCTACTTTATTGATGTTCCCTTTTTAAACTTTTAAATACATAAC